TTCTCACACATTTTTTTTTTTTTTTCTTTCTTTTTGCATAACAAAGAAAAATCATATAACCCTTAGTGGTTAAGATCCATTAATGTCTCTCTCCCTTTGAGCAGGTGTTGTGCCAGGCAGTGAGGAAGATTGCAGGAGACAAGGGGTCGGCACAGCATCCTCATCCTTGCATTCTCGAGGTGTCAGATCAGGGCATAAGGATGGTCGACAAGAGCAAACCAGCTGTAAGTTTGTCGCCATTTCCCGTTCTTAAGATAAAACCAGTAGTAAATTTTTTCTTCCTTTCTTTCTTTCTTTTTTTAGGTATACTGAAAGATTTAGTCAAAATGTAGTGATGGCATATAGAATTATTTAAAATCAAATTTGATTAAAGGTGTGAAATGAGAGAACTTAAAAATAAAAAAAAATACAGGTAGATAAATTTGATATCCTGTTTCGAGCAATAATATAAATGAGATTTAACACCATAAATATATCCCTTTCTGCAGCCTAATCATGTCCCCTGCCACGACTACTTCTACCACCTGAAGCACGTCTCCTTCTGCGCCTTCCACCCTAAGGACCATCGTTACTTTGGTTTCATTACCAAACACCCAACCATTCAGCGCTTTGCTTGCCATGTCTTCAGGAGCAACACAAGCACGAGGCCAGTCGCAGAAGCAGTAGGGTGGGTGTTGAATTTGTTCGTTGATATTATATATTTGTGTGTGTGTGTGTGTGTGTGTGTGTGTATGTGTGTGTGTGTGTGTGTTTGTGTGTGTGTGGGTGTGTCTGACTGTCTGTCTGTGTGCAAGCATGCATTCATGCATGTGTAGAAGTGTGGACTTGTTGATTTTATATATATAAGATAATGATATACCTTTGGTACATTTTAATATTGTCTCTTCTTTTTCAGACGAGCATTCCAAAGATTTTACCAGAAGTTCATCGAGACCGCCTACCCGATTGAAGACATCTACTTAGAATGACTCAAAGAAGAAGTAGACAGCTGCAGCAAGAAAAAGGACACATGACAACACAGTATATTTTTAAACAAAAGGGAAAATTTTAAGTTCATATGGATTAAATTCAACTACTGATTGACATATTTTCATTCTTGGTGTATGATGATTAAGTACTTGTATGTTCATGTTTTTGAATAGATGTGTGTCTGCATATGAAGATGCATAATAGAATATATGGTTATAAAAAGAGAGAGAAAGGGAGAGAGAGAGAGAAAAAAAAGGGACTGGGGCACATTCCATTCCATTATTTTAATATGGTAGTTACTTTGACAGCTAATTTGGAAAAGAAAAAAAATTCTTGCTGGTCAGAACTACATGAGTAGATATATATTTAATATGTTTATTAAAGAAGCACACAAGTGTAGCATTTCTACATATTATAATGTTTTATGTGGTGTGTTACACTATGCATAAAAAAGAGTGCCCATCCTTATCTAAAAAATTTTGACTGCCGTTGCACATGCAATCAAGTACATGATGATTTGCACCATGGAGAGTATGTCAAGAGTATTTGCTAGTTACTTTTCACGAATATAGAATCATATCACAGATATATTTTTCTTTCCAAATGTCTTAGTTTTATGGTTTTATTTTTACACATGAAGGAGTGAGTGTGGCTCACAGTGCCAAAAAATAGAAGTTGTGAGTAATTTCTTTTATATTTACTCACAGAATGTAGGTTTCTGAAGCTGTCTGCTGTCTTTTTGAAATCCACGAAGATGTTACTTTCAATTAAGAGAAGAGTTATCATCTTTTTGCAAACAAAAAAAGGAGAGGAAGGAGTTTATTGCATCAAAGCACAGATACAAAGTTATGATAGTGTAATGACAATATTTACATTATGGAGTTCATTATCATCCTGGAAATGTGAAACCTGTAGCATTACCGATAATGTACGACATACAAGAATAGCTGTAATATGAAAATTAATCCAGGAGGAAAGTAATAACTTCTTTCTGGTAATATGAAACAAACGTAATAATTAAGCTTGTAATAATTTTCATTGCAGCCATTCTTGTCGAAAGAAAACGGTGTAACCAGGCATGTATATATGTAACGTATAATTAATGTCATCACTCTGAAAATCAGTGAGGCATATTTTTTTTTCTTATTCCGAAAACTGTGCTTTATTTATTCATTTACAAAAATACTTATACGAGACTCATATCTCCCTCCTTCGCTGTAACTCAAAAGTGCTGCTCTCTTGATGATATTTTTCTCTTAAATACTAACAAAAAAAAAAAAAAAATTCAAGGTACTCTCAATTTTAGAGGAATGTACCAGAAAATGTGACGGTTGCTGATGATAATATTCCAAATAGCAAATAAAAAAGGAGAAAAATTCAGGAAGGAGAGAGAGAGAGTCCCCATACGTGTGTGTCGTCTACATCATTATCACACAGCTGGTCGACCTCAGGCAAAACGCGTTCTGTCGTGTTCCTCTCGGCGGGGAACAGCATCAGCATGACAATGTGTGCAGCATCATTTCATTCTCTGATCCCAGTGAGAGTGAAAAGAAAGTTGTTCTATACTTTTACCTTTGAATCTCCCACCTACAGCAAATGGAAATAGTTTTCAAAGCGAATTTGTAAACTATAAAGGGAGGAAAAGAAGAAGAGAAAAAAATGAAATTACATGCATGAAAACATATGAAATTTGTCAGTGTGATGTATCTTTAATTGCTGTAGGTTAATCATTGTAATAGTCCAAATTTACACTTGATTTTACGCAAATCTGGCGAACATACACATGGGCATTTTGATCTTTTACAGAAAATTAGATATGTGAAAAGAGCTTTAGATTCTTATTTCTATTTTTTTCTCCCCTTTTCATAATCATAGTGATTAGTAGGTGTATCTGATCACTCTAGCCCTTCTCATTCCCAGACTTGTTCATTATTCATCAACCTTGTAAAATAAAATCCTTCTAAACTTTGCCTTTACCTTCCATACGGTACTTTTCATATGTATATATGTAAATTCCATTTACTGTAATGTAATTTAAGATTTGGCTCTTTTCAGCAAAAAGAAAGGTATTTTAGGAGCAGTAAAACAGTTGTACAGTATACCTGTACTTTTCTGAAAGTGTCATAGAATCCTTTTTCTAAGAAAAAATAATCATCCAAATATTTATATTTCTTTTGTTATAAATTAGAATGTTTTTTGTCTTGTAATCCTGTACAATATGAGTGTCCTTGAATAGTGAACAGCTGCGAGTCCGAGTCTGATATGATATATGAAACATTGATTTTTTCTCTCTCTTTTTTGGGTCTATTTTGGCCCCAACACTGGAATACTGTTAAAATGTACATTATGGTATTTCGGAAATCCAAATTGCATGAGACTGAAAAAAAGATGAAAAATGTAGTTACATTTATAAAAATCTTTTGAATTTCATAAATGCTTTACAGTGTATGAAAAAAAGGTGGTATTGTTTATGATCGAGCAAAAGGACAAGTATATCAATCCCATTCGTATTCATATATACGGGTGATTTGGACAGTGTCAGACATAGGCATTGCAACAGGCACCAAATTGACAATAAATAAAAATATAAAAATGTAAAAAAAAAAAAGCCATTTTGGTGGTATGGCTATGTAATTAGGCTTTTGATTAGAACCAGAATTGCTCATTCACCAGTACTCTAAATAATGTTTAAGTGCACTAAAAAAAAGAAAAAAAAAAGTCTGTCAGCCATGTTGAAGAGAGCCTGCCTCCCATGCTTCTCACATGTAAATGTATCAGTGATAATAAACACTGATTTCTACAAAGACTGGCAATGGCACAGTTAGTCCTTTGGAGTTCTATGGTTAAGCACTCCTGACTGGTTGATTTTATGGAATTTATCACTTTATTAAATAAGAAAAAAATAATAATCCTATGTTAAAAAAGATAATCTTATCTGTTGCATAATAATTCTATAGTAATTTTTAACATGTCTTACTTTCTAGCTCAGTACTTTCATGTCTCAATGTAATTCAAAACAGCCAGTCAGGTCCCTTTGACGTATGGGCACCTAACCGACACCGCCTTTGCCAGACTAGTAGCATAATTTCCTTGTTACTATCAGATGCTTCTTTGTAATATTGGAAATACACTTAAAAAAAAAAAAACAGGATTGTTGTGCGTGATAATTTTTATTTACAAGTTATGTATGTCATTGAAGAAGTAATGAGCAACTGTTTATTTTTCTTTTTTCTTTTCTTTTTTTTAAATCGGTTCATTCTTGTGTGTAAAAAAGAAAAAAAAAAACTTTTCTCCTACTAAGATTATTTCCTTTCATGTTTCTTTAATCACCTATGGAGGAATAATATAATGTTAGGTAAATAAACATAATTATCCTATTCTCAATTCAGATTCTCTGTGAGATATCTGAGACAATTCAAAGGCCGCACCAGTTTCCAGGCGAGTGGAGATGTCAATGGAGAGAGACTGTTGCCAGTCACTTAAGGTATCTAACCTCATGTAGTGTCTATTAACTGTCATCTGTGTTTATGATTATGACAAAAATAAAAAAAAATCACTGTAAAGAAAGGTCATGCACAAAGATAAAGTTTTGGCATACTTTCATAGTCTGTATAGTATGTTACTTCCTGTATGGTATAAACTTAAAAATAATAAAGGAATATCATATATTGATCACATATTATCATGTAGTACTTCTCATTGGTGATATAGCGACAGTATAGAAAAGAAAAAAAAATGTATTGCTTTCATATCAAGAAAGAAAATGATGTACAATGAACTAAATGGTGAATTTTTTTTTAGAAAGGAAAGAAAAAAGAAGACACATCAGTTCAGCTATTTCTTTTTTTATTAATTAGACATATATCATAAGTCAAGTTCTACTAGGACAAAAAAAAAAAAAGAAAGAAAAAGAAATGAGAGATTATTTCCATCCTTCTAAAGAAAGTTTCACATTTAGTGTCTCCAAAGGCAGAGTAACTTCAAGATTTTAGGAGAGAGATGTTAGACAAAATTGATAAGGTCTTCCAGGA